CTGAACGATATGTAATGAGCTTCTCTATGTGGATTGGCTTCATTAATGTTAATAGCTGCTTGTCTGGCAGTACGTGACCCGAGCATCAAAATGATTTGCATCATATTTATGGGGATGTCTAGCACAGTAATGTCACCTGACTCTCGTTAATGTGAATGTGAAAAAGACGGAAAGATGACTGTTAAATATAGTTCCATTTTCACTTCCAGGTAACAGTACGACACCTCTAATCTTCACTACTCTATATCCCGCCCCAATTACTACCTCTCCAGTGTTATCATAGTCGCTACTTTACCCCCCTTCCTGCCATTCACATTCCCCGTTATCCAACATCAAAACACATACTCTCTTCTACAGTCATATCTGTTATATCTACTACACCTATTCTACCTTCCAACACCTTAAGTCCCAAATCTCGCAAGTACTCTTACATTTTGATTCTTACGTCTGAATTTGACATTGAGAGCTACTAGGATACGCTAAATTCTGCTACTCGTGACTGAGGACAATTAGGATACACGAAGCTGCTACTGGTGACTGAGAGTAAATATAATTAGGAAACATTAAACTCTGCTACTGGTGATTTATGCACTTAACTAAACTGTAATAAGTTTGACAACACACCCACAATTTTGAGACGAAACCCTACACGACTTTTCGATCCGTCCTGAAAGAATTATCAAATCACAATAGTTGACTTGATAGAGTTTAAATAGGCAAGCTTATGTACTAGGAACCATTTGTTCCCTACATGGCAAAAAGTGGAAAAAAGAGAAGGTTCAGGAAGATACAACAGAAACGCTGATGGGTTTATGAGCCTCGGGGGAGGAAGGTTCCGCCCACCGCTGCCTTTTAAAAAAAGAACAAGAATCTGTGGAAAGCTGAATCACTATCCACCTTTATATTTTTGCGGTGAGCAGCGAGGAGACGACAAACTAGGAATATAAAACAGATCTAACAGACGACGTTTCGAGTAACGAGGGACGAGTAACGAAAATGGATTGAGAGTCTCGCGGTACGAGTAGGTGCACATTGCGTTTATGTGATTCAAAATTATCTAGTTTATCACACGACCGGTAGTTTCTATTCAGCTTGTATTCTTGTGTGGTACTAGTTATGTACAGGCCCATCGAATCAACAGATCATCGTGCAATTCAACATGAATGTTGTCATATAACGTGGATATGTTGAAAATCAACAGGGACAAGTTCCTGCGAGATAAATTAATATCAACAAGACAGCTAGTAAAGTTCTGCTGACCTGGCATATCACAGATCCCAGAAGTTTGACCCTAGGCAGAAACATTAAACTAATAAGACATGTGCAAAGCCCCTGCTGGCAAAACGTCTTAATAATCACCGAACTGTCAGTATTATATATCATTAGTATTAACAAAACATTGTCCGTTAGTACAAGAAACGAGCAACAGTTGAAGGCACAGTCGGTGGTCTCTAAACTGACCAGTTTCTTCCATTCCTGTATTGTTGTAGAATGGAGAAGACTATGGAAACACAGAATTACTAAACTCTAAAGAGTAGATGATACAGTGAGGGATGCTGAAGTAGTTGCCATGCCCGGTTAATAACTAATTCTCTGAACTGTATCAGTAATTCTGAAAGTAAAAACAGCCATAATCTTAGAAAGACTTTAATGGAGAAGTGTATCAGATTTGTTCAGTTTACCCTACAACGCTTTAAATTATAAAAAAAACCTGATTAAACCTGCAAAAGGTAGAATTTCTAGTAATCAGAAGCTAGTGGACTAAGTACTGCACACTGAGTATTAAAAAATAATTATTTTGAGTGAAGGGACTTAAGGTGCTCCCTGTTCATACCTATTTATATGTAATATTGATATATCATCATCATGTAAACGTGTTTTACTATGAGATAAAATGCAGAAAAGATAAAACAAAACTACAAAAATGAAAACAAAAACTACATGCCCAGAGCAATTGTGACAACGTAAAAGGTAAAAGCAATTAATTGCAGATATTAAAACAATAACTGAGTAATACTACAGAATCCAGTGATTGTTTATTTCTTTAAAAAAGGATTTTTTTGTTATCATGGTTCATTGTATTTGGAGCTCCATAGACTTTTTGTGATGGCTGAGTTTTATCATTGATATTCTATTGTTCAAAAAGTTTATTAAACTTTTTGCTGAACCAAAAACTCTATTCACAACTTTTAGGTGATGGAGAGATTTTTGAATGGGGTTTTATTTCCAAACTGGTTTTTTTTTATTTGAATTAGTTTTAATGTGCCTCTGTATCATTTCTATAATCCTACAGAGCATGGCAGACAATAGTTGAAAACTACGTATTTTTTTGCGAGATATATAGCTGTTAGGAGTGACAGTCGTGGCAACGTTGTACGTGTGTTTTGTGTTGGGTAAGACGCTCGAAGGCGTTCCCAAGACCCTCAGCGAATTTCTCGTCACATACACATTCTCAGCTGGCAGCTACTGACGTAAATGACTCACAGTGATATATATAAAAACACTGATTCAACCTCAGGGTGGTCAGAAAGTTAAGCGAATTACGGGTGAAGCAAACGCCACACAGTTTCAAGCACTGGTATGACTTGTCCCGTGAAGCAAGAAACTTGCGAGACCTGAGATCTGACTTTCGCAATCACAAATCGATTAATACACTAACATTTAGAAACACTTTACACACATCTTTACTACTAATACACTCTGCTTGACCTTGTATGCCAGTGGGTATTGATCCTACATGAAATTCCTGAACGTGCTGCGTTCAGGGAATTGTTCCAACACAGAAAAAAAGACTGAGGAATTTCCTGCACTGGCTGCCAATGAGGTGTTTACCAGAAAGAGTAACATGGAAGCTGAGCAGCAGAATGATGAAGATGTTTGAAATATATTCAACGCAAGAGCCAGAAAAGAAGAGGAGTGTTAAAAGACAAAGTAGATGGCGACTCAGTGCACTGATTCAAAAGAAGATAAGAGGTATTTCAAGACAGTAGATGCAAAGTTAAGAGGGTGGCCCAAAATCTGGAGCGCTGTCTCTCACACTCCAATCCTCATATACACAGTTCGTTTTCTTACGCATTACACCATGTTAATTTCCGAGCTATCTCATCTTTTGGGAAATTAATTTTCGTTATTTTAGGTTAGGTTAAACATACTTAAATTTAACTAGTTAACGGTAAATCAACAATTTACAAAAGATGGGTGGCAGCTGGGTGCCTCTTTCAGTGAGAGGGAGAGAGAGAGAGAGAGAGAGAGAAAGAAATGCCAGCTGTTCTAAGCTACATCAATCACCAGCTGAGAGCTATATCAGCTTGGGGAAATAGATGGCAAGTAACATTTGCACCCGAGAAAACGCAAATGACCGTCTCTAGGCACCATGATGGTAATGCTGGTGCAGTAGTAAGGATGAATAGGAGGGTGTTGGCACCTGGAGAAGAAATTGATATCCTTGGGGTGAAATTTGACTCCAAACTAACCATGAAGAACCATGTTGTAAATCTTGCAAACAAGGCAGCCAGGAAGCTTACAGCACTTCGCCGTATCTCGCATCTACTTGACAATAGGGGTTGCAAGATTCTGTACGAGGCACAAGTACGCTCGCACCTTGAGTATGCTCCACTTTCGTGGTTTGCTTGCCCCCCCCCTCTCATCTGCGACTGCTTGACAGAGTAGAGAACAGAGCAAGACGTCTCATCTCTCGCCTGGACCCATCCTGGATAGATCTGTCATTTCAGCAGAGCCTTCAACATAGGAGGGATGTGGGTGGCCTTACTGTTATGTACAAGGCCAATATTGTCAAAGTACCACACTTGGATCCACTTCGAGAACAGCGTGAAACAAGCTTTTATGCCACAAGAAGGGCAGAAAGCAGCAACTTCACTCTGGCTGTACCCTTCTCCAGAACATCACTCCATCTGAGATCATATATACCCAGGATGACTCGAGTATGGAACACATTCGTACAGCATAATGATGTCAACGAGATAAAGTCAGTTGATCAAATGAACATGCTGGCCCACAGATGGCTCCAACTTCATCCTGTTCCCTACTTGTATGTCTCATAACAATAAAAATGCTTTCAAATGAGCTGATGTAGGTAACAGCTCTTAGCTTGCCAATAAAGTTAGGAATCCTTAACCTGTAAATAGCTTGTCAATAAAGCTAGGGATCCTTAACCTTGTCAAACCCTGCGTAAAAAAAGAGTTACTCTAATCATTTTATATTGGTCAGGGTGGAGTCTTAGCTCCTGAACCCTCTTCTTAAGCTTCTTTCACCGTCATTACTGTTGCCTGGTCTCTTGAGCCCTACCATATCTTTTCTTCAACCTCCACACCAACTTCACTACATGTTCCTACTACCCTGAGACTGAAAAAGCACTTCCTAACATTCCTGTGACTGGTCGGTGTTTAGTTTCTAGTTACATCACCTTGTACCTGGTCCTGGTATTTCGGTCAGTCCGTATTCGCGTTACCAATTAATTCGAGTATTTTGTATGTCATAATTATGTCTCCCTTTAGTCATCTTTTCCACTGTGGGCAGGTTTAATCCCTCCTAATAGTCCACCTTCTTAGCCACCCTGACTGCAGACCTTTCCAACTTTTCAAGCTTCTCAAAATGACACTGCAGTTATTCGGCTTGAACTCCGACAGACACTTCTTTTACTAATGTCCCTTCAACCGGTCAATGTCTTCCTGGAGTCCACATTTGACCTCTCCTGCTTGGCCATTATCAGTTTCAGGATTATTGCTAGCTATCATCCAGATCGTCTAACAGCGTTGTTTCAAGTCTGTCTCCTGTCTCAAATCTCACCACACTACAACAAAACCATTATAAAGAGCTATTGTCTGGGACCCTTCCAAATTAAAATGAGTAAATAACACAGGAATTAATATAAGCAAAAGCGTGTTTTCCCCCAAGTGCTTGGGTTGCCACATAGCACCTTGGACATAGCTTATATACGTACCTGTGTGAAAGACGGAGGCCCAGTGTTGCTCTGGGTGCTGATACGTGCACACACACATACAAAGACAGACAGACAGATACACACACACACTCACACACACACTCGCTAATCTCGCTCCTCCATGCAAACTCTTCGAAGTGCCGACATCATTTGCCTACCCGTTCAGTGCCATCCAAAATAGGATACTTGCGCACAGTGTTCGGATATGAAGCCGAACGATCGCTTGAAAGTAGCTTCGTTCAAGGGGCAGAAAAGTGTGTTTTCTCTCTGTTATTAGTAACTAAACGAGCTATAGTGCAAAGTGAGACTTGTTAACTCTCACGCGCGACCTTACGAGCGCTCCCATCGATCTGAGTCGAAG